CCATTCATTTCAATGGGGAAGTCCGTGTTTTTTTTTTTGTTTTTTTTTAACTAACCAAAGAAGCCCCAAAAATGTGTCAAGCCGGATTTTTTACACGACATCGGAAGCACAATGGACCAGTGTGAAGACATTCATAGACATACATAGGGAAGCATTTTTCATGAGCTTGATTTTTTTTTTTTTTTCTTCAAACACAAAAGCAGTCCAAAAACTGCTCCGTGTGAAAGGGCCGTAAGAAATGGCGCTCTGTTAAGGGTCGGATTTCTGGGTTAGGTTGTGTTTTGAAGATTAGGGTGGAGCCTAAAGGGAAACTCCAGCCACCCACTAATAATCACTTCACCCCCTAAAATCTCTTTTTTAGAACTAATAAAAACAAAACAAAAAAAAAAACAAAACCATATACTGACTTTTGCCCTTCAGTCTTTAGACTGGACTGGTGACCGCGAGTCTTTCCTCTTCTTTCTTGGTGGTCATCATTTCTGGGCTGAGCAGAGCTCACGTAAAGATGCGGTTCTGTCTGGAAGTATTGTGAGCCTAGGCTGCATGATCATGTACCCGGGGGGGTAGGTACCTAGGCTTACAGCAGTGTTTCTCAACTCCAGTCCTCATGGACCCCCAACAGGTCATGTTTTCAGGATTTCCATTATTTTGCACAGGTGATTTGATCAGTTTCACTGCCTCAGTAATTACCACAGCTGTTTCATCTGAGGGAAATCCTGAAAAACATGACCTGTTGGGGGTCCATGAGGACTGGAGTTGAGAAACACTGGCTTACAGGAAGTAGGTTAAAGCATACCGGCCATCATTCTCCAGAGAATCGAGCAAGAAGCGGGGGGACGTCGCTGGAGCGTGGAAAGGTTGCACAGTATTTGGCCACATTTTTTTTTTCATTCTGTGTTCATGTCGTAGGCGAGACGTCATCGTTTTGTAGCAGAGTGGAACATGCAGTTCAGCTGTAGCTAGAATAAGCTGCATGCTACATATGGCCATCCGCTGTGTATATTCCACATATTGGCTGCAGTGTGTGTAGCGGAGTTGTGGTAGTTTTGTCCTGTTTGCTTCATACAGAGTTTTTGTTCCTGTTGTGTAGTAGGTTATTATTACCATTTCTTGCTGCTTCACATGAACCCTCACAGCCCTGATGCCCGGCCTGCGGTCCTTTGGTACTTGCTGTGCAGCCATTTGCAGACCCCAGCGGGCAGTAGTGGAAGCATTCATCTGTAAAGAGGCTATAATGACAGCAATCTCTGGCAGTCTCACCTGTCCCTAGACCACGGGTGTCAAACTCCATTTCATCACGGGCCTTAGAATTATGCTGGCCCTCAAAGGGCCGGTTGTATCTGTAAGACTAGAGGTCCAGAGCACCCCACCCCCCCATTACATCAGATGTCAAAAATCCCACACCCTGCTTAACATCACCGTGCACCCCCTTTGGGAAAGCAGAAAGTGCAGGGTCTGGAGAAGGACCAGAGGAGGAGTGGAGTCAGTTACCAGAGTCTGCTAAATGCTGAGACCAGGGGAGGCAGAGATGAGGGGGTGCTGCAGCTGCACTGAGAGGTGCAGGATTTAGCGGAGGAGTTCTGTTCTCTTCTCTGCTGCCGACTGCTAAGACAAGGTGGGGGCTGAGACTAGGTGGGGGCGGAGACTAGGTGGGGGTGGAGACTGGGTGGGGGCTGAGACTAGGTGGGGGCTGAGACTAGGTGGGGGCTGAGACTAGGTGGGGGTGGAGACTGGGTGGGGGCTGAGACTAGGTGGGGGCTGAGACAAGGGAGTACCTGCAGGAGGTGCACAGGCCACATGAAATGGCCTGGAGGGCCGGATTCGGCCGGCGGGCCTTGTGTTTGACACCTGTGCCCTAGACACTGACCATCTCTTGTAGTGTGTCTTCAGTCTCCAGCCACCCCTGTTTCATGTCTGCAGTCTCTAATAGTCTCTGATAGCATTCTGTTTGGCGAGTATTATGGCTGTCAGAGTTGAGACCTCCTATACCCTGAGGGTTGACAAGCACTGACATACAGGCTTAGGCCACGTGGAGGGCAGCTGTGCGTTCCCATGGCTGATAAACAGATTTCATTCATTTCAACTTCATTTTGGCTTCACTGCTTAGTAAGTAACTAACACAATACGTTCGCAGCCCTTAAAGTCGCAAGTCTCCCACCGAATGCTTGTTCCAGGTCAGCGACTTACTAGGCAATGAAGCAACAAGAATTGATAATTCAGAAATTTGCTCCTTTAGAAGCCACTCGGAAAAGCTGCCTTAACCATTCCCATCCAGCCCATGTATATAAATGGCCGGACGGTGGCAGTGCAGGGGTGGGTGGCTGTTTATAAACGGCCTCCCCGCCCCCTGCTTGTGCGCGCTCCCTGGAAGCATGCAGCACCGCGATCCGGTGCCCGCTGTGTCCTCCAGACACAGTAGAACACCGATCGTCAGACGGGACCTCTGTGCAAGGTCTTGATCATGTGATCACTGATTGGCCAATCAGTGATCACATGAAGAGTAGTAAGCAAGATGTCACTTCTGACATCATTGCTTACTACCTGTGAAATCTGTGAATGATCACAGAGGTCACATGGTACAGGGCCATTCACAACAGCCTTGTACCATGTGACAAGCTGTGACCAATCACAGCTCACACAGTATTTATCAATGGCTGCAAGAATGCAGCCAGAGAGAAGGAGAAATTATTGCTTTTACAGCCTTTATGGGTGTAAAAGCAATCCGTGTGTAAAAAAAAAAAAAAAAAAAAAATTTCATAACCCCCCACAAGTAGTACAGTGTCACCATGGTGACGCAGTACTGCTAGGGTGACAGTATGGTGAAAAAAAAACCCATAAATAATAATGTAAAAAATTATAATTTTTGGTTAGAAACTAATTTGGGTTATTTTTTTTTATTTTCAAAATGTTTGGACTTTTTCATTTATATAGCAAAAGAAATAAAAATCCCAGCGGTGAATAAATGCCAGTAAAAAAAAAAGCTTGATCAGTGTCAAAAAAATGCTTAAAAATTCATATGGGTACAGTGTTGCATGACTGCGCAAGTGTCATTCACACAGAGGTCCCGTACGACGATCGGTGTTCCGCGGTGTCCGGAGGACAGAGCTGGCACCGGATCACGGTGCTGCGCTCTCCCAGGGAGCGCGCACATTCCAAAATGGCGGGCGCCGTTTATGAACTGTAACCCCCGCCCCTGGACTGCCACCATCCGGCCATTTATATACAGCGGCCGGACGGCAAGTGGTTAATAAACAGATGCTCACCTGTCCAGGAATCCAGCACTGTTCTCACCTGGGGCAGTTCCTCGCTTGTCTATGGGTCCACAGTGCCGGCTTGTTCACTGTGGGAACCAGGCTGTGACTCCTTTTGGCTTTCCACTGTGCATGCATGAGCCGCACTGAGCCCTTTAAATGGTCCTGCAGCCTCCTGTGACATGTCCCAGAAGGCTGGGGGGGGCAACTTCCTGTCAAAACAAGGTACCCGTAAAAATGAGAAAAGTTGTAGGGGGTTGCAGGAGGAGGAAGCTTGGAACTTTCCCTTGTGGGCGAGGTTTCCCTTTAAATTGAGCTCCTCTCTCATGCCGCAGTTATGTCAGGACTTGGAACTTTCCCTTGTGGGCGAGGTTCCCCTTTAAATTGAGCTCCCCTCTCATGCCGCAGTTATGTCAGGACATGGAACTTTCCCTCGTGGGCGAGGTTCCCCTTTACATTGAGCTCCTCTCTCATGCCGCAGTTATGTCAGGACATGGAACTTTCCCTCGTGGGCGAGGTTCCCCTTTACATTGAGCTCCTCTCTCATGCCGCAGTCAGGACATGTGGAAGGTTTTTGTCCCGGATTATACACGTCTTGTGTTTTTCTGTCAGTCTTCACACACTCAGACGTTTTGTTGTTGCCGCTCTGCCCTCCCACTACACGGCACCTACTTGTTAATGAGATTGTGACTCCTGGGATCTCTGCTAACCATCTTTTCTGTCTGCTCTGGAACAGGTCGGATCCGCACAAGGAGACAGAGTTCTGGAAGTACCAGCAGCGCCACGTCGGTCCAAGCAGATACCCGCGGTCGTAGCAGAGCCAAAATTGTATCCCAGTCCCAGCGTAAGTGGAACAAAACTGAAGGCAAAGCACTTGTTCCAGTGTTTGGGGGGTGGGGGGGGGGTGTTAAAGGAATTATGGGTAATGCGGATTGGATGGTGATCCCTGTCTAGTCTGTTCCTTTAAATGTTCGAACAGTGTGCTTGTGTTTAGCGTGATTGTAGATGTGACCTGGTGCTTTTTCTCTAAATCCGTCTTCACTGTCCTCTGTCTGCTTCCATACAAAGGATCCAGATCAGCGAATCCGGCCAGCGGTAAGAATCTGATCTCTTTCCTCGCACATCCCCTGTTTCCTGTCTGGTGTTCTCACTACAAAGCATACAGTGCACCTCTACTTGGTGACGGCAGCTGCCCCCCCCGGCTCGTCTCTGTAGCGTCTTCTTTATTTCTACAATGCCAAGTTCTCATAAATTGGGACAACGAGGTTGGTGCAGCTCCCAGTGGCTGAAGGCCAGGATTCTCCACCAACAGCTCAGTCCTCGCTCTTAGAGTTAGTGGACAACGAGGTTGGTGCAGCTCCCAGTGGCTGAAGGCCAGGATTCTCCACCAACGGCTCAGTCCTCGCTCTTCGAGTTAGCGGACAGCATGGGACAACGAGGTTGGTGCAGCTCCCAGTGGCTGAAGGCCAGGATTCTCTCCACCAACAGCTCAGTCCTCGCTCTTAGAGTTAGCGGACAGCATGTTCTAGCCAAGCTGGCCAGATCAAGCCATTGTCTCACTTTTACACCGTCATTCAGTTGCCACCTCGGCTCCTGTGGTAGGGTCACCTTCGTGGTATTGTTCTGGTGTCGGGGTGCACTGCATGCTGGTTGTTTGTTGTTTCCATCCATTATACACATTGCCCATAACTGTGCAATCGGAATCTCAGATCTTCTATTATTCATTTCTGCTTTCTTGTGTTTTTAGCTGGCAGCAGATCCAGCTCTCCTGGGAAGTTGCTAGGAAGTGGATACAGTGGCCTGGCTACCAGCGCCCAGAGAGTCCCGCAGGTCCCGTCCACTGACAAGAGAAGCAAGATTCCCCGTAGTCAGGGCTGCAGCCGAGAGACCAGCCCAAGCAGGCTAGGACTGGGTAAGAATAATACATCCTAGAAATGTTCCTTCCATGTCGCCAACATTATCCATGGTATCCATATGTAAAAACTGACTGTGACCCTATGGTACTTACTCCAGCATTTGTCTGTGTGTGGTTCGTGGTGGATCTATGCTAGAAGGCAGCAAATCTTAAAGAAGAACTCCGCTAAGAACTGGTTTGCATCTGTAAATAACTACTTTTACCACTTCCGGACAGGCAGCCCGTGTAGGCAGAGTGAGGTACTGGCACATCGCTGCCTGGTTTAGTGGTTTATTGCACGTGCGTGATTGTACACAGCAGGAGTCGGTCAGCAAGTCCCACCCAATGAGCAGCTGTGACCTGCTGATCGGTTGTGTTCAATCACAGCCCAGAGCCCTGTATTGACAATCAACACAGAGCTCTTTGCAGAGGGAATGATCTCTGTTTCTCATCCCTGCAAAGCAGGGATGAGAAACAAAGAGATCTATTAGTGAAAGCAGCACGCAGCACACATTACACACTGTTGGGCACACATTTAACCTCTTGATCGCTCTAGATGTCAACCCCTTCCTAGCCAATGTCATTAGTACAGTGACCGTGTATAGTATTATCAGTGATCACTATTCGTGTCAGTGGCAGTTAGTGAGTCTAGCACCCCAAGCCCCCCTCCCCCCCCAAAGTGAATTACCGCCACCCCCCCCCGCTGATACTCACTGTGATTGTACACAGCAGGAGTCTATCGGCAAGTCCCAGCCAATGAGCAGCTGGGACCTGCTGATCGATTGTGTTCAATCACAGCCCAGAGCCCTGTATTGACAATCAACACAGAGCTTTTTACAGAGGGAATGATCTCGGTTTTCTCATCCCTGATGAGAAACAAAGAGATCTGTTAGTGAAAGCAGCACACATTACACACTGTTGGGCACACAGTTAACCTCTTGATCGCTCTAGATGTCAACCCCTACCTAGCCAATGTCATTAGTACAGTGACCGTGTATAGTATTATCAGTGATCACTATTAGTGGCAGTTAGTGAGTCTAGCACCCCAAGCCCCCCCCCCCCCCCCCAGCACCCACTGTGATTGCACACAGCAGGAGTCTGTCAGCAAGTCCCAGCCAGCGAGCAGCTGGGACTTGCTGATCGATTGTGTTCAATCACAGCCCAGAGCCCTGTATTGACAATCAACACAGAGCTCTTTACAGAGGGAATGATCTCTGTTTCTCATCCCTGCTTAGTGAGTCTAGCACCTCAAGCCCCCCCCCCCCCCCCCCAGCAACAGTTAGTGTCAGAATTGCCTGCTGCACTATTGCAGTCCTATTAGAAGTCTCTGATCACTGCCATTACTAGTATAAAGTTTTTTTTTAAAAATTCCAGTATATATACCATAGTTTGTAGGCACTATAACTTTGGGGGGCGTGGGGGTTGTTACCAAAGACAATATAGCAGAATACATTGTGGTCAGACTTTTATGAAGAAATTTGTTTTTTTATTGGACACAACATTTTCTGTCTTCATTTATATAGCAAAACGAATAACCCAGTGGTGATCAAACACCACTAAAATAAACTCTATTTGTGTGAATAAATTGATATGAATTTTGTTTGGGTACAGCGTTGCATGACCACACAGTTACCAGTTAAAGTAGCGCAGTAATGAAAAGCAAAAAATGGCTTGGTCATGAAAGGGGTAAAGTCTTTTTGGAGCTCAAGTTGTTAAAAAAAAATTACAGATGTACATATATGGCACCCCTGTGCCTCATTTGGTCTAAAATGTATGTAGTTATTTCAGCCTTCCGCCCTTTTCGGCTGCTTCCCATCAGCAATGCTAAAGCTGGTGGGGTTGGCCCAGACACAATATTTTGCTTGGTGTCAGGTCCTGGACTGCATTCCCTATTGCTCGACCATAAGGGAGAAGGTACATTTGTTAGGAATGTACTCAGAACAGAAACGCCAACGCTTAGAGGATGCATGAACAAACCTGGAGTGTCGCTCCTAGCGATCTCAAACTGTCCCCCGGTGATCCTCAGCTCTATCGGGTGCTAACATCCGGGTACACATCCAGAATGGCAATAATATTAACACTTCAAGTCCGGACACTTCCCCCCCCTTCCAGTCCGGACATTTTCCCCCCCTTCCAGTCTGGAAACTTTCCCCCCCTTCCAGTCTGGAAACTTTCCCCCCCTTCCAGTCTGGAAACTTTCCCCCCCTTCCAGTCTGGAAACTTTCCCCCCCTTCCAGTCTGGAAACTTTCCCCCCCTTCCAGTCTGGAAACTTTCCCCCCCTTCCAGTCTGGAAACTTTCCCCCCCTTCCAGTCTGGAAACTTTCCCCCCCTTCCTGTCCGGACACTTTCCCCCCCCTTCCCCCCCAGGCCAATTTTTAGCTTTCAGCGCTATCACACTTTGAATGACAATTGTGCGGTCATGCAACACTGTACCCATATGAACATTTTTAGCATTTTTTTAAACAGATAAAGCTTTACTTTGATGGTATTTATTCACCACTGGGATTTTTATTTCTTTTTGCTATATAAATTAAAAAGTCCCAAAATTTTGAAAAAAAGTGTTTTTCTTATAACATTTTACAAATAAATAATCTTTCTTCATAAATCTTGGCCAAAATGTATTCCGTTATCTTTTTAGTGCAAAAAAAAAAATAAACCAAATTAGTTTATAACCAAAAATTATAATTTAAAAAAAAAAATTTGTTACATCTTTATTTTATTTTTTTTATATTATTTTTTTTTTTTTTCTACATACTGTCACCCTAGCAGTACAGTGTCACCATGGTGACACTGTACTGCTTGTGGGGGGTGATGAAGATTTTTTTTTTTTTTTTTACACTGATTGCTTTTACACCCATAAAGGCTGTAAAAGCAATCATTTCTCCTTCTCTCTGGCTGCATTCTTGCAGCCATTGAGAAATACTGTGTGAGCTGTGATTGGTCACAGCTTGTCACATGGTACAAGGCTGTTGTGAATTGCCCTGTACCATGTGATCTCTGTGATCATTCACAAATTTCACACGTAGTAAGCAATGATGTCAGAAGTGACATCTTGCTTACTATTCTGCATGTGATCACTGATTGGCCAATTGGGGATCACATGATCGGGACCTCACACAGAGGTCCCGTACGACGATCAGTGTTCCACTGTGTCCGGAGGACACAGCAGGCACCGGATCGCGGTGCTGTGCGCTCCCAGTCCAAAATGGCGGGCGCCGTTTAGAAATGGCACCCCACCCCTGCACTGCCACCGTCCGACAGTTTATATACAGCGGCCGGACAGCAAGTAGTTATGAAGTATAAGAACTTCACGCTCCAATCAGTCGACCGCTACAATTACGCCCTGGGGGCGGGGCCAAAGAGGGGTCAAGGCTGAGGCCTTTTCTTTCTTCTGTTACTATCCTGACTGATGGGAGTGCTGCGTCCTTAGACTTCTTCATACTTAGCAGATGCACTTAAGTGGAGCTACACAAAGCCTGCAAATAAGGATGAGTCCAGAGCTTTTTGATGGGCAAAGCTCCAACAGTTTCAGGTAGTACGGGAGCATGCCGCTAAGTCTCACTTCCCTCGCATTCCTTCTGACCTGTCACTAAGATGGGCTGCCTCTCTGGCCAATAGGATCGTGCAAAAGGCAGGAAGGAGCTGGAAAACATTGGCACAAGGTTTCAGAGGCAACCTCTTTAACCAATTCAATACCGGGCAATTTTACCCCTTCCTGCCCAGGCCAGTTTTCACGTTTCAGCGCTGTCACGATTTGAATGACAATTGCGTGGTCATGCAACATTGTACTCAAACTAAAATTTTATCATTTTCTTCACACAACTAGAGCTTTCTTTTGGTGGTATTTAATCACCGCTGGGGTTTTTATTTTTTGCTAAATTAACAAAAAAAGACCAAAAATTTTGAAAAAAACACGTTTTTCTTTGTTTCTGTTATAAATGTTTGCAAATAAATAATTGTTCTTCATACATTTAGGCCGAGATCTATTCTGCTACATGTCTTTGGTGAAAATAACCCAAATTAGGATGTATTATTTAGTTTGTAGGAAAGTTATAGAGTTCAAAAACTATGGTATAGATCTGAAAATTGATCAATCCTGAAGTACTGACAGCCAAATCTAATTTCTTGAGGTCCAAGAATGTCAGAATAGTGCAGATATCCCCCCAAATGTCAGAACAGTACAGATATCCTCCAAATGTCAGGACAGTACAGATATCCCCCAAATGTCAGGACAGTACAGATATCCCCCAAATGTCAGGACAGTACAGATATCCCCCAAATGTCAGGACAGTACAGATATCCTCCAAATGTCAGGACGGTACAGATATCCTCCAAATGTCAGGACAGGAATCCCCCAAATGTCAGGACAGGACAGGAATCCCCCAAATGTCAGGACAGGACAGATATCCCCCAAATGTCAGGACAGTACAGATATCCCCCAAATATCAGAACAGGACAGATATCCCCCAAATGTCAGAACGGTACAGATATCCCCCAAATGTCAGGACGGTACAGATATCCCCCAAATGTCAGGACAGGACAGATATCCCCCAAATGTCAGGACAGGACAGATATCCCCCAAATGTCAGGACAGGACAGATATCCCCCAAATGTCAGAACGGTACAGATATCCCCCAAATGTCAGGACGGTACAGATATCCCCCAAATGTCAGGACGGTACAGATATCCCCCAAATGTCAGAACAGTACAGATATCCCCCAAATGTCAGAACAGTACAGATATCCCCCAAATGACCCCTTTTGCAGAGTAGACAGTCTGACGTACTTCATAAGAGGCATGGCGAGTTTTTTGAAGTTGTATTTTTTTTGTCATACTTTTTTTTCGAAAAATGAAAAAATAAAAAAAAATTAGTTTCAGTATTTTTTTTTTTTTTACATGCTGTCACCAGTGCAGTACAGCGTCGTCATATAACTGGCATGGCGGTGATCAGGGACACTGACTGGTGACAGTATGGGAAAAAAAAAATATTTTTTTTTTTTTTTCTTTTTTTTAAGATTTTTTTTTCATATTTCACTATGACCAAAGTCGTACAATGTTACCATAGTAACATTGTACTACTTTGGGGAAGTGATCAGTATTTTTTTTTTTTTTTTTTACACAATTTGCTTATAGCAAAGAATTACTTTGCTATAAGCAAGCATTTACCTGAATGACATCGATTCATTCAGGGTTTTTTTTTTTTGTGCTTAGCTGTGATTTGGCCACAGCTAATCACATGACATGTGCATGTGATTAGCTGTGACCATTCACAGCTAGACACTAGTATACAATGGATGGCATGAATGAAGCCATCCATTGTATACAACTGTCATGTGACCTGCTGTGATTGGTCACAGCAGGTCACATGGTACCAGCAACGGGGGCCGATACTCAGATCTGTCATCGTCCGTGTCCGAGGTACACGGCCGGTGACAGATCGCGCCGCTGCGCGGCTCTGCAGGAGTGCTATCTGCGCATGTGCGGGAGGATGCCATATGGCGTCCGCCCGAAACGCTGAGGACATTTGCCAGCCGCCATTCGGCCATAGGGCGGGCGGGTCAAATGGTTAAAGTACATCTAAAGTTTGGTTAAACTAGTGACTAACAAAGAAAAAATATTATTTTGCTGTTGATGACCCAGTGGGGAGATTTCCTTGATTTCATTTGCAGAAAGTGAGCGAAAATCTCTCCAAAGTGAGGGAAATCCCTCTCTTGAATGTCTGTGGAACAGGTGTCTCCATTGGAAGATTTCCCTTCAATTCCTTTTTTCTGGGGAATGTCCACCGAGACAAACTAGAGAGAGTGAAACTCCCTAAAACTAAACCCAAACAAATAAAAATGTGACACAGGTTCTAACCCAGTGTACACATCTGCCAGCACACCATGGATCTTCAAATACCACCCAAAGGTTTTATATTGAAGAATGATCACGTCAACCCCTTCGGCCGGCATGTGATAAGTGCATACAGTGATCTAAAAAGTGCCATCCACCGATTAGAAGCAAGACATTTAGGATGTCATAAATCCGGCCAAAACCCTCATAATAAACAGCATGCCATCGTTATCCACACTCATTAAAATTGATGCCATTCTTAGAGAAATAAAATGCCCAAGACGCTGTAACACCAGCCAGTACTTTAGGAACATCCATGCAGGGGCTGTGGAGTAAATCAGTGTCCATGATCTGCCTAATGCACTCAATGTGAGAAAAGAAGCTAGCGGGGCTCTGCGTCGCTGTTGCTAGGCAACTGGATCTATCAACCAATCAAAACAGAGCTACCCCATCCTTGCATGTGCACCGCGGATGGCCATAGCTCAGCAACCAAAGACTCAGGGCCGCCATCACCATAGCGACCAAGATGCTTTGCCAGAGCCAGCTCTCAGCTTAATACACGGGCTGTCAGACCGGAGAGGGTGTAAGAAAGTGTTAAAGGTGAAAGAGAGAACTGAGCAAATGTGCAGGTTCTAATCCTTCCACAGTCCATTAAAAAAAAAAAAGGGGGCGGTGGACTTTTAATACATATGGGTTGTTTGATTCCATTTGCTTTTGCTTGAGGACGAGTTCTTCTTTAACCTTCTGAAATGTTTGCATTTGAAGTCGTAGTAAGCAGCAGAACAAATCCAAACATTTATTATTTGACGTTAATTCCGACAAGATGGATGTAAATGAAAGCTGTGAAGTGAAAAACAGGCGGAAGAACGGTGAGTGGGAAAGCAGCAATGGCCGTGTGTACACACCAAGTTCCGTATAGATTTGTTTCCTGGACTCTATTAGTAATCATTTCAGCTGCCCGCCTCGGCTCTACACACGGTGAACATGTGGTTGGGGAGCAGAGCTAAAATCCCTTCATCCTTCCATTCTTTGTGGAAAGCGGCCATTGCTGCCTCTCCCTGTTTTTGTATGAACTCCCAGCAGGCCGAGTTCCTTCATCATGGCTGGACACAGGATTCAGACATTTCTTTCCAAATTTCTCCCAACAGCCATGAAGCAGGGCCCGCTTTGCTTGTTTCATTATTCTGTATCCGATCCCATGAAAATGTCCCCATTTTCCTTACCAGTTAACCTTTCCCTCCTGTATATAACAGCATAGCCGTGCTATTTCCCAGCATTGAGATGTCTGTGTTGTGCCGTGGTCTCCATCCTGTCATTGTGAAGTGAATGATGCCGTCTTTGTCTCTTCTGTGTTGCAATGAGTGGATTCTCTGTAATTAACAGCTTTGACCTCCACTTTAGTTATAGATTTCTATTTTTTCTGTCTATACACGATGTATTAATGTGCTGCCTTTCCACATCGCATGCTAGCCCGGCAGCAGCCGCATTCCCCGACCCAGCATGAGTCAGGGGTGCAGCCGCGCGGACACCAGCCGTGAGAGCAGCCGTGACACAAGTCCCGCCAGGGGCTTTGCACCTCTCGGTGAGTACTGCCAGACTGCGAATCCTCCCCCCCCCCCCCCCCAAATCCTCATCCCTTACTATTCTCCCAAACAACCCTCCCCCCAAATCCTCATCCCTTACTATTCTCCCAAAACAACCCTCCCCCCCCCCAAATCCTCATCCCTTACTGTTCTCCCAAACAACCCTCCCCCCAAAATCCTCATCCCTTACTGTTCTCCCAAACAACCCCTCCCCCCCCAAATCCTCATCCCTTACTGTTCTCCCACCCCCAAACAACCCTCCCCCCCCAACGCCTCAAATCCTCATCCCTTACTATTCTTCCCAAACAACCCTCTCCCCCCAAATCCTCATCCCTTACTGTTCTCCCAAACAACCCTCCCCCCAAATCCTCATCCCTTACTATTTCCCAAACAACCCTCCCCCCAAATCCTCATCCCTTACTGTTCTTCACCAAACAAACAACCCCCCCCCCCAAATCCTCATCCCTTACTGTTCTCCCAAACAACCCCCCCCCCCCCCCCCCCCCAAATCCTCATCCCTTACTATTCTCCCAAACAACCCCACCCCCAAAGAAGGAATCTCTCCCCCCGAAATTCCTCATCCCTTACCGTTCTCCTCCCCAAACAACCCTCCCCCCAAATCCTCAACCCTTATCCCTATTCTCAAAACCAAACAACCTCCCCCCCCCCCCCAACCCCACCCCCCAAATCCTCATCCCTTATCCTGTTCTCCCAAACAACCCCCCCCCCAAATCCTCCCCCAAATCCTCAAAATCAACCCCCCCCAACCTGTTCTCCCCAAACAACCCTTCCCCCCCCCAAATCCTCATCCCTTACTGTTCTCCTCCCAAACAACCCTCCCCCCCAAATCCTCATCCCTTACTGTTCTTCCAAACAACCCCCCCCCCCCCCCAAATCCTCATCCCTTACTGTTCTTCCCAACAACCCTCTCCCCAAATCCCATCCCTTACTGTCTTCCAAACAAACCTCCCCCCAAATCCCATCCCTTACTGTTCTTCTCCAAACAACCCCCCCCCCCCAAATCCTCATCCCTTACTGTTCTTCCCAAACAACGCCAAAACCCCCCCCCAAATCCTCAATCCCTTACTGTTCTCTCCAAACAACCCTCCCCCCCCCAAATCCTCATCCCTTACTGTTACTCCCAACACAACCCTCCCCCCCAAATCCTCATCCCTTACTGTTCTCCCAAACAACCCTCCCCCCAAATCCTCATCCCTTACTGTTCTCCCCAACAACAACCCTCCCCTTACTGTTCTTCCAAATCAATCCCTTACTGTTCTCCCAAACAACCCTCCCCCAAATCCTCATCCCTTACTGTTCTCCCAAACAACCCTTCCCCCCCAAATCCTCATCCCTTACTGTTCTCCCAAACAACCCTCCCCCCAAATCCTCATCCCTTACTGTTCTCTCCCTAACAACCCTCCCCCAATCAAATCCTCATCCCTTACTGTTCTCCCAAACAACCCTCCCCCCTCAAATCCTCATCCCTTACTGTTCTCTCCAAACAACCCTCCCCCCAAATCCTCATCCCTTACTATTCTCTCCAAACAACCCCCCCCCCCAAATCCTCATCCCTTACTGTTCTCCCCACAACAACCCTCCCCCCAAATCCTCATCCCTTACTGTTCCCCATCCCACCAAAACAACCCTCCCCCCAAATCCTCATCCCTTACTGTTCTCCCAAACAACCCTCCCCCCAAATCCTCATCCCTTACTGTTCTCCCAAACAACCCTCCCCCCAAAATCCTCATCCCTTACTGTTCTCCCAAACAACCCTCCCCCCAAATCCTCATTCCCTTACTCATTCTCTCCAAACAACCCTCCCCCAAATCCTCATCCCGTTACACGTTCTCCCAAACAACCCTCCCCCCAAATCCTCATCCCTTACTGTTCTCCCCAAACAACCCTCCCCCCAAATCCTCATCCCTTACTGTTCTCCCAAACAACCCTCCCCCCAAATCCTCATCCCTTACTATTCTCCAAAACAACCCCCCCCCCCCAAATCATCTCATCCCTTACTATTCTCCCAAACAACCCTCCCCCCCAAATCCTCATCCCTTACTGTTCTCCCAAACAACCCTCCCCCCCCAAATCCTCATCCCTTACTGTTCTCCCAAACAACCCTCCCCCCAAATCCTCATCCCTTACTGTTCTTCCAAACAACCCTCCCCCCCAAATCCTCATCCCTTACTGTTTCTCCCAAACAACCCCTCCCCCCAAATCCTCATCCCTTACTGTTCTCCCAAACAACCCTCCCCCCCAAATCCTCATCCCTTACGGTTCTCCCAAACAACCCCCCCCAAATCCTCATCCCTTACTGTTCTCCCAAACCCTACCATGTGTTCTCCCAAACAATTCTCCCCCCAAATCCTCATCCCTTACTGTTCTCCCAAACAACCCCCCCCCCAAATCCTCATCCCTTACTGTTCTCCCAAACAACCCTCCCCCCAAATCCTCATCCCTTACTATTCTCCCAAACAACCCTCCCCCCCCCCAAATCCTCATCCCTTACTATTCTCCCAAACAACCCTCCCCCCCAAATCCTCATCCCTTACTATTCTCCCAAACAACCCTCCCCCCAAATCCTCATCCCTTACTATTCTCCCAAACAAACCCTCCCCCCCCAAATCCTCATCCCCTTACTATTCTCCAAACAACCCTCCCCCCCAAATCCATCATCCCTTACTGTTCTCCCCCAAACAACCCTCCCCCCCCAAATCCTCATCCCTTACTGTTCTCCCAAACAACCCTCCCCCCCCAAATCCTCATCCTCATCCCTTACTATTCTCCAAACAACCCTCCCCCCCCCAAATCCTCATCCCTTACTGTTCTCCCAAAACCCCTCCCCCCCCCAAATCCTCATCCCTTCCGCTTACTGTTTCTCCCAAACAACCCTCCCCCCAAATCCTCATCCCTTACTGTTCTCTCCCAAACAACCCTCCCCCAAATCCTCATCCCTTACTGTTCTCCCAAACAACCCTCCCCCCCAAATCCTCATCCCTTACTTGTTCTCTCCAAACAACCCTCCCCCCAAATCCTCATCCCTTACTGTTCTCCCCCCAAACAACCCTCCCCCCAAATCCTCATCCCTTACTGTTCTCCCAAACAACCCTCCCCCCCAAATCCTCATCCCTTACTGTTCTCCCAAACAACCCTTCCCCCCCCCCAAATCCTCATCCCTTACTGTTCTTCCCAAACAAACCCTCCCCCCACAATCCTCATCCCTTACTGTTCTCCCAAACAAACCCCCCCCCAAATCCTCATGCCCTTAAACAACCCTCCCCCCAAATCCTCTCCTTACTGTTTCTTCCAAACAACCCTCCCCCCAAATCCTCATCCCTTATATTCTCCCAAACAACCCTCCCCCCCAAATCCTCATCCCTTACCAGTTGTCCCAAACAACCCTTCCCCCCAAATCCTCAAACAACCCTCCCCCCAAATCCTCATCCCTTACTGTTCTCCCAAACAACCCTCCCCCCAAATCCTCATCCCTTACTGTTTCTCCTCGCATCCCTTACTGTTCTTTCCAAACCTGACCCCGCCTTTCCCGCCAGGATGGTTAGGGGACTGCAGGTCTTTTACTTTCCTAGAAACAGTTCTGTGTAATCGCTCCTTCTCGAGCAACCATCCATAGCCAGCCATTGGGTAAGTGCTGCTGATGGGTCTGAGGAAACCTGGTCCTCTGCAACCTCCAAACTATACTCGGGATGATCTTAAATAGGTCCATGAAAAGGGTTGATTGTAGCCATATTAGTGCATTTTTCTATAGAAACAATTGAGTACTGACGTACTTTTTTTATTTGCACTAACATACAATTTTGAGGACAAGCTTTCGGGGAGTGTCCCCTTCTTCAAGGTGCAAGCAGTACTGCTCACAAAGTTTTTAGCAGAATGTTAGAAGAGATGGGGATGAAAAAAAAATAAAGAGACTAGAGATAAGACATAGCAAGAGCAGGAGAAGAGGCAAGTCCTCGAAACGCGTCAGCCTTTTGGGATGTCTACACACCCCATTACGGACTGTTTTAGGCGGTGTTGA